TAAAGCTGAAACCCTCAAAAGGTATTTTACTTTTCTCAGAGCTGAGGAACAGGTCAGCAATGTACAGAAATGAGAAGGATGAGACTTTGACTTCTAGCATCAGAGACTGCAGCTCAGGAAACCATTTGGGTCAGCTGTGGTGGAAAAGAACACTATGTTTTCATATGCACCCATAGCTACTTGAGACATATTTGTGATTGAACTATGCAAAGATGATAACTGAAAAACTTGTTGCTAGAAAATTTTAAGGATCACTGAAGACCAACTGGATACTTTAAGACCTCCATTGCTACTGTCTAGCTCTCCTGGACACTGGGGGAGGAAGGCAGGTCAGCCTTAGCCTTCAGGGGAACAAGGCTGCTGAGGCTGTGAGCACTAGTGAGCACTGCTGCTGCATGCCTGATTTTCAGGAAATTATGAAAAATTAACTACGACCTTGAAATTGATGCTGACAGAATCAAAAGAATGTTCATAACTTAAGTAACGACTATTTTTGTCTTGTGTTGTATTCACAGCTTTGGGTCTGAAAACATTTTTTTCCTTGAGCAAATGGTGCCTCTTCTATAGGGCAAATGTAATATAAAGTAGTTTAGTTATGAGTACAGGATTAAACTTTTTTTGTTTTTAACTCACACAGTCACTTTATAGCTCGTGGTAAAATATTTTCATGGGCATTAATAGTAACTTTTAATAAATATCTTGATTTTCGGTGGTGGCTAATGAAAGGACAAGGGGTAATGGGTACAAGTTAAAACACAGGAAGTTCCATCTCCATGTGAGGAAGAACTTCTTTACTGTGAGGGTGACAGAGCCCTGGAACAGGCTGCCCAGAGAGGCTCTGGAGATCCTCCAAACCTGCCTGGATGCCACCCTGTGCCACGTGCTCTAGGTGACCCTGCTGGAGAAGGGGGGTTGAACTAGACGATCTCTAGAGGTCCTTTCCAACCTCAACCAATCTGTGATTTTGTGATTCTATGTGACAGGAACTAGAAGGGCACTATCCACAGTAATAGCATTACTCCACAAGGTACAAGTTTAGTTTCATCTCAGGGTGCAAAGTTGCTTTGTTGTTTTTATGTGAAACAGCAGTATTCAATATAAATCCTTATTTCTACTGTGTAATTAAAGTTAGTTACAAATAATCATATATAAATCTATAAATACCCATGCATATTGCATATGCATAAAAATACTCCTGTCAGACAACTTGGAAAATTTTCTAAATTTCTTCTGAAAGTTTGAAGTAGACAATGTACGGGGACAAAAAAGTCATGAGAGTGTGGGAAAAGATGAGAAGTCTACCACTTTTGATTTTAGAGTGCCTGGCTTTAAAACTGGAATCTATCCTTTATGCTTGCTACAGGAGACAGGAAGAGGAGAGAAGAAAAGAGAAATCACATTCCTTACAGTGTCCCAGGGTCATGGTGTAAACAGAGCTCTGTGAATCTGATGGGAGACGCATGCTCTGCTGCAGAACTTGTGCAGTGTCTCAGAATTGTCTTTTACTTTGTGGAGCAAAGTCGTTGTATGTCTTCCCTATTCCCTGTATAATCTTAATTCAAGGTAGAAATGCAGTTCTTTTTCTTTGCTGTTTCCATTCTCCAAACAGATCACCAGATGACACTTTTTTTTTCTATGAGAAAGAAGAGAAACTCTCTTCTGTTTCAAAACCTCTCCTTTCCTTAGAAATAAGAAATTTTCTTTATGTGTGGTAAAATAACAAGGTAATTGAATCTTTCTTCCTATTTTTTTCTTCTTCCATTGCCACCGTGAAACATACAGAGCTCCTTAAAAACAGCCAGAACATTATAGTAAGGACAGTATTTGCAGGGTAGTCTGGATGATCTGTACATTTAAATACCAATATTAAATGTCAAAAATATTTTATAAATAAGTAATAAAACATGTTCAGGACTCAATGCAATCAGCACTGGAATTCACGCTAAAACTTCTCTGCTATACTTTTTTTTATGAAAAAACTCTAAGTTGACCCCCAAGAAAATCCCACAATGCAAATATACTGAAGTCATTCTGAAGAAACCAGAAAACTTGCACTTGACATACAAGTGTAAAAGAATTACCTTTTGCACCAGGTCACTTACTTTGGTTCTGATGATAAGTGGTAGTGGAAGTAAAAGCAGCGGGGTAAGGATAATGAGCAGGAACCTTCGATAGACCAGGAGATATCTAAGAATCTTCATGACTGGTAACTAGTAGTTGAGCTTTCCTGCAGAAACTGACAAAAAATGGGTTTGACTTTAAATAGTTTGCTCTGATTAATATTTTCCTAAACTACCACCTTTAGCCATTGCTAAAGCAGGCCAGTAAAGCAAGTTAAAAATAAATCTTGGCCTTTATTGTTTTAGTGACTTTATTAACAGTAGGGTGATAAGATAAGTGTTCATCATAAACCAAGTCTAGATGTCTCCCTCCTTATGACTTTCTCCCCCTGCCTTTCCTCATGAGGAGTTTATGTAACCAGAGTGGGCTTTAAGCCACTAGATAGCCAAACATCTCAGGTACCCTCTCCGTTACTGTTGGCTTAAGTAGGAAATTAAAACATCTAATCTACCTAGAATATATATGTCCAGACCAATTATGTGAAAACATATGCAAGTTGATTGTACTGGGCAGAATGAAAAAATTCATAATGAGGATAGATAAGAAGAAAGCAACACTGAACAACCTGATATATCTTTGAACCTTCCTCTGCTCTGAGCAAGAGGTTGGATGAGATTACACTCCATGGTCCCTTCCAACCTTGATTTATCTATGATTCTATCCTTCAAGAATATGAAATAAATAGGACAAATAAGTTTTCTTCCTCTTTCCTGACAGAAGTGTCCGTCATTCATCTTTTCTACTCATTCAGAAATGAGGAAAGATATTTCACATACGACACGTAGCTTTGAAGACTGAGGATTGGAGTGTTCTTTAGACAAATATATATATATATATTTGCCTGAATTTTTCCATGTTCAGTGAAACAGAACTCTGTACAATCTTTGTAATATTTCAGAACAGCATCAAATTAAGGGAAAATGCAAAATAATTTTCCTGACTATCTCCAAGTGAAGATAAAAATGGGAAAGAACTCTCTGTTTCTTGCTCAGGAGCTTATACAAAGCAGTAAGTCAGAAGAAGAAACAGATGAAGGATTCTTTGAGTTATCATTGCACGCAACCAAAGGCCATGCAATAAGGTATATTTTTACTCTCGAAACAACTTGTAGATATAACAATATGCCAAGATAGATACATATAAACCAAGTTCTCAGATTACCTGTGCTGGGAGACAGACTTTTGATTTTGGAAGGACTTTGATTTTACTAGCAAAGCAGTATTTCAAATCTAACTGACAGGAAGGAATTGACTGAAACCTCAGAGACTGAAATTGATTTGGGGGTGAAAGTAATCATGAAATAACAACCTTTGCTACTGCACAGGAAGAAAGAAAACAACTCTGAGACAACTCTGGAAACTGAGACTGAGATCTCCTGAGAAGATAATATAAGGGATAAAGAAGTGAATTGGAAGTTTTTGAAAGAGACTATATTAAACATATAATGGTAAACTATCCTAGTCCAGAGGAAAGACAACTTAGAAACTATGGCATCTGCACCAAAGGTTTGAAAAAAACATATATAAAACCATCCATAGATACATGCCATAAGATAGCTGGCATGTATTTGAAGATAGGGATTGCTGAAAAGGTATGGCACAAACATGGGGGGGAAAAAATTTAAGATAATATGATGTGAAATATTCCCCAATTTCAGTTGGAGATACCAAAATTTAGATTTAGCATGTGTATTCAAGTCAACTGCCAGATGAAATTCACTCATAATTAACAGATATGAATTAAATCTGAGAATAATCCTAGAATATGCTTGAAAATAATCTGTTACATTTAAAAGTTTTCTAAGAGTTCCTAGAAAAGCATGATGCATATATTGAAATAAATATTAGCTAATATATACCATGTGAACTCAGCCTAATTTTCTTCTTTTGGGGGGCAACTGACTTAGTGATTAAAGATGTAAAATAGAGCTGTTTTATTTCATTTCAATATACTTTTTTAGATGAACTAAGAAAATCAGGAATAAGCACAGAAGCTCAAGTTGAAAATACTTTTGAATGCACAGCTAGTCAAAAATGTTTTGCTTTTATACTTGGCATGTCAGATGGATTCCTGAAGCAGTTCCTCCTGAGTAATTCTCTATATCATAGATTTAAATCATAAATTTAAATCATAAATCTTTAGTATATGAATTAAACTGTTGTTAAACAGATAAAGTTAGCACACACAGGTAATACCTTTATCAAATCATGTAAACTGTCCTTTCAGTGTTCTCAGATTATCATGGCTATAGCAAAGTGCCCTGCAGAAACAGACATAAACATTTCAAAAGCAAAACAGAAAAAAAAAAAGACTTCCGTTACTAACTCATGTGAATTATTGTTGATGAGGCAATAGAAATTTCTGTCAGCACAGAATCTGCACTCAAGACCTTCTGTGGATCCCTGAAGTCATCTGCCGTCAGCCATCTGAAATGGGCAGGGTGACAGATGAGAAAAAAGGGTGCTGAAGATGAAAGGAAAGGAAAGGAAAGGAAAGGAAAGGAAAGGAAAGGAAAGGAAAGGAAAGGAAAGGAAAGGAAAGGAAAGGAAAGGAAAGGAAAGGAAAGGAAAGGAAAGGGAAAAGGAAAGGGAAGGGAAAAGGAAAGGAAAGGAAAAAGGAAAGGGAAGGGAAAAGGAAAGGAAAGGGAAGGGAAGCTCTGTCTGGATCATCTACAGCATGACCTTTTTACTGTGCCTTGATTGTGACCTGGATCATTTGTTATTTAATTAACAGAACATTTTTCTTCCCTTCCCAAACAGGCTTCCATCCACAGTCACAAATTTCTGAAAGCATGGTGGTCTGTTTATAGATCACCTGGCTTATCTATTACACGTGATGTGCCAGGTGAAGTATATGTTTTAATTGTTAGCCCAGTGCTATGTATAGTTCACTGGGTGCTCTTTCCAAATATGACTTTCTTTGAAAGGTAGAATGAATAGGAAAAAGAATTTGGATTTAAGTTGAAAAATAAAAATAAATTTGCAACAATTAAAAAAATATGAAAGAGATGAAGCTTACAAGGAGAAAGACTATTTTCTGTTATATCATCCACTATTAGCTGATGTAGTTCAGTATTGATCTTTTACCCCCTAGCTTTCTCGGTATGCCTTCTTTATGTTTGTTGTATGTTCAGTTAACTGTGGACATTTCCCAGGTATTTTCTCTCTAGCTAGCTTGAGTATTATGCCCAGGCTTCAAGAAAGCCTGTGGAGATGATTGATACTTTTATCCTTGAAGCTTTGTCGCATTAGCTGTATCTGTTATTTAGCTGCGGACCAGTTTTGTTGTTTCATGTTAGAAGAAAGGCTTGTCAGAAAAAATCCATCTTTTTTTTTTTTTCTTGTCAGTACCTTTAGAATTTACATTACTATCCTCTGCTTTACCTTGGTTTTATCTTTTGCCTGTTAATAGCATTACTACTGTATATAACTAAGAGGAATCCCTTAAGTGTCAATATCAAGGAAAAATGGGCACAGTTCAGACAGCATTATAAATGTCCAGGAAAATTCATCCTCCAACTCAAACAACGGATGGGAGAATGCCAAGCTCAAAATGCATATTCAGACACAAATAGTCTGCATGGCACATTTTTTTTTCCTTATGGAAAACTTGGTCACACTAAGGGATGTTTGATTATTGTGTAACAGGACTGAAGAGTGCCAGAGAGCTCATCAATATTGGTTAAAACCAAAGCAATAATTAAAGCAGACAAGCTGCAGAAAACTTGGGAAATGAATGATCCCAAATCCATTTAATTGGTCAAATGGAAACAGTTTAAAAAGTATCATGATGCATAGTCTATTCCCTTTAGCTTTTTAAATATTTATCACATAATAGAGTCCTAAGACCATCATTTCTGAGCAGTGGCTGATGCCATCCTTTACATGTCAATGTATTTTCCTAAAAGTGAACATGGAAAATTAGTTTATATTATGTGCAGGATGTCATATATTCATTTACAAAAGTAGATTATTTACTATCTTTGCCAGATTCATTGTTTATGATTTCTCTGCTTGCTCTTTTTTTATTATTGTTTTGTTTGTCAAAATACTGAGCAAATGATTAAAGTCCTGATCCGCGCAATGAGAGGATTACTAATGTGATTTCAAAAGCATGTAAAGGTTTACTGCAGTGTTCAGCTGGGCAGAATCTTTGGATAGTTAGAAAATGGGGGAAAAAATCAATATTTCCATACCAAAGATGCACACAGGATTAACAGGCCCTCTTTATGGAGTGATATAAGGTGTGTTTTAGGTCAGTATATCTAATCTAGCAGTAAGGCATTTGTTATACCGATATATGACTAATTATTATAATGGAAAGGATGTGCGTCACTAAAAGAACTGTATGGTTGTATAAGGCTAATGTGGAAGAACAAGTGAAACAAATGAACATTATAAAATAAGGCTCTCATAAATTTGCGGAGGGGGGGTTATATTTGTTTAAAAAATCATTAATGAGTCCCAAAATGTCATTCATTGATGACAAAATTGATAAGCATTATTAGCGGATTGAAATTTTTTAAATAGGGACTATGATAGCTTGAACGGGTCTCTTCTCCAAAATAACTACCAATAGGACGAGAGGAAATGGCCTCAAGTTTCACCACAGGAGGTTCAGGTTAGATATTAGGAAAAAAATCTACACAGAAAGAGGGGCGAAGCACTGGGACACGCTGGCCAGGGAAGTCAGTGGTGGCCACTGATAGGACTAGAGGAAATGGCCGGAAACTGAAACACCAAAAATTCCATAGGAACTTAAGGAAAAATTTCTTAACAGTGAGGGTGACAGAGCGCTGGAACAGGCTGCCCAGAGAGGTTGTGGAGTCTCCTTCTCTGGAGATCTTCAAAACCCGCTTGGACGCAGTCCTGGGCCACGTGCTCTAGGTGACCCTGCGTGTGCAGGGGGGTTGGACTAGATGATCTCTAGAGGTCCCTTCCAACCCTAAGCATTCTATGATTCTATGATTCTAAGTCATGTTCAAGAAATGTGTAGAGGCATGGTTTAGCAGGCATGGTGGTGATGTATTTACAAAAATTAGGCTTAATCTTCAAGGTCTTTCCCAACCCTAATGATGCTATAATTCTATGAAT